GCTGCTGCTGTTGATGTTGTTGCTGCTGCTGCTGCTGTTGGTGTTGCTGCTGCTGCTGTTGCTGCTGCTGCTGACGTTGCTGCTGATGGTACTGTTGTTGCTGCAGCGACAGAATCAGCTGTGTATGGGTAAACCGCCGCGATTGCTGTTGCTGCTGCTGCTGCTGCTGCTGCTGTTCCTTTGCTGCTGCTGCTGCTGCTGCTGCTGCTGCTGCTGTGTACAGGTGTACACCTCATCCTCGAAGCAGCAGAAACCCTCATCACTAAACACAGAGGCAGAGTGCAGCTCATCCTCGGTGGTATGGCGAACTGGAAAGACGGATACGCAGCCAGGTTAGGGTTTAGGGTTTAGGGTTTAGGGTTTAGGGTTTAAGGCTGAGGACTGTAGAGGAAACGGGGTCATATGGGGTAGCATCAAGGGCTTGTTGCTAGCAGTGGATTCAGGGTTTAGGGTCTAGGGTCTAGGGTTTAGGGTTTAGGGTTTAGGGTTTAGGGTTTGTGGCGACAGGTGTGCAACAAAGATGATGGAGCTGCGATGGAAATACCCGCAGAGTTTTTGGGCGGACCCCAACGAGTTCTTCACAAAGGGCGAGTCCCTCAAACCCTAAACCCTAAACCCTCAAACCCTAAACCCTAAACCCTAAACCCTAAACCCTCGAGAAGAATCTGGAAACCCAAATACTGCATTCAGCATCCGTTTTTTCTGCAGCAAAAAGCACAAGTGCAGCGCAGCACATTTTTTCCTTTTCCCGAGGGTTTAGGATCTAGGGTTTAGGGTTTAGGGTTTAGGGTTTAGGGTTTAGGGTTTTGTGTTTCAGGGGCCCATGTGAACTATGGCGCGGACTTCGGCCTCATGCCCTCGGCCTTTGAGCCCGGGGGTATAGTGCAGCACGAGTTCTTTATCTCTGGCACGCCAGTCATCGGTACCCTCAAACCCTAAACCCTAAACCCTAAACCCTAAACCCTAAACCCTAGATCCTAAACCCTAAACCCTAGGAGTGGTTTCAGGAGCCGTCAACACAAAATTCTGACACCTTACTAGCACCCATCAATACCATTCCTATATATAAACATCCGTCTTCTCCCACAAGGGTTTAGGGTTTAGGGTTTAGGGTTTAGGGTTTAGGGTTTGTGTGTAGCGTTTCACACTGGGGGCCTGAAAGATACAGTGGTTGAGTTTGTTGCCGCCACAAGCAGCGGCAACGGCTTTTCTTTTATGAATTACAATTCTGGGGATTTGCTTTATGCGATGGAGAGAGCAATTAGGGTTTTTGAGTATGTAAACCCTTGTAAACCCTAAACCCTTATAAACCCTAATAAACCCTAATAAACCCTAGCAGGCATATTTGTATGTATTGTCGTTGCAAAAGGGTTTGCTCAAAGCACTTCGTTTCACCTGCGGGAGAGGAATCTTTAAGGGGAGGGTTTAGGGTTTAGAGTTTAGGGTTTAGGGTTTAGGGTTTGGGGTTTCTGCAGCGACAAGGAGAAATACACGCTGCTGCGGCAGCTAGCTAGAAGGTCTGTGGTTAGCTGCGAGTGCAGCAGCTGGGCCTGGCTCTGTGAGTTCGCTCGCCTCAGAAACAAAATACCTATCAACGAAAACAAGGTACGCATACATACAAAGCTAGCTAGCTAGCTAGCTAGCTAGATAGATAGATAGATAGATAGCTGGGTGGACAGCTAGTTAGCTACAGTGATAGAGATATTGATAGCTAGCTAGCTGGCTACCTGGATAGCTAGCTAGCTAGCTGGGTGGACAGCTAGTTAGCTACACAGATAGAGAGATAGACAGATAGCTAGCTAGCTAGTCAGCTAGCTAGCTAGACAGCTAGCCGCAAACCGCCCCCCCCCCACCAGGCGAAGCTCGCCGGAGTACAACCCACTGGAGGCCAGCTAGCTACCCA